GGAGAAGGGAATCATTGCAGGGCATAGACATCTCAAAACTTCCTCGAGTTCCTCGTCCTAAACCTGAACACAAGAAACCACCTCTGCTGCTCATTGTTCTGCTCGTTTTACTGGCAGTCATGGTGCTGGCTGTTCTTGGGGGAGCTTTTTACCACAGGCGAAGAAAATATGCAGAAGTTCGTGAAGCATGGGAAGAGGAGTTTGGTGGGCATCGGTTCTCTTACAAATCCCTATATAAAGCAACAAAAGGGTTCGACAAGGATGGATTTCTTGGAAGAGGAGGATTTGGAGAAGTGTACAGAGGAACTCTCCCTCTCAGCAGAGAAGTAGCAGTGAAGAGAGTGGCCATCAATGGCGAGCAAGGTATGAAGCAGTTTGTGGCTGAGATCGTGAGCATGAGAAGTCTAAAGCACAGGAATCTGGTTCCGCTTCTCGGGTATTGTAGGAGAAAAGGCGAGTTCTTTCTGGTTTCTGAATACATGCCCAATGGTAGTCTGGACGAGTACTTGTTCGATGACCGAAAGGCGGTTATTTCTTGGTTGGAAAGAGTCGTGATCCTAAAGGGCATAGCCTCAGCTCTCAATTACCTGCACACAGAAGCCGACCAAGTTGTTCTACACAGAGATATCAAAGCATCTAACGTTATGTTGGACGCTGAATACAACGGAAGGTTAGGAGATTTCGGTATGGCCAGGTTTCATGACCATGGAGGCAATGCAGCCACAACAGCCGCTGTCGGAACTGTAGGATACATGGCACCAGAGCTAATAACAACAGGAGCTTCAACTAGAACTGATGTCTATGCATTTGGTGTTTTCATGCTTGAGGTAACCTGCGGGAGAAGACCAGTGGATCCCGAGATGCAGCCCGAGAAACGGCAACTGGTCAAATGGGTATGCGAATGCTGGAAAAGTGCTTCCTTACTTGACTGTAAAGATCAGAGATTGGGGAAAGAATTCTCGTCGGAGGAAGTGGAGATGGTCCTGAAACTCGGGTTGCTCTGTTCCAACATTGTGCCGGAGATGAGGCCTACCATGGAACAAGTGGTGCAATACCTAAACGGAAACCTACAGTTGCCGGATTTCTCGCCATACACACCGGGAATCGGAGCTTTTGCTCCGGTTTTCATCGATGCATCCTCCCTCTTAGCCACTTCCACTTCTTGGAGCTTGTCAGCTCTCTCAACGCCATCTTCCTCGGCCAACAACACATCTTATGTTTCGAATTCAGACAATCATTTGCAGGGTCAGAGGTTGGAATCCATGAATGGTTTCCGTCAAGATACAGAATCAGAAAAGCCTCAGATCTTATCGGCACTGGATCTAGAGTCCGGCTGCTGTCAACGGACTGGCATTGATGAAAAAGTCTGAGATCCGAATCTTTAAAACAGATCTTCTTGGTTCTTGAGATTGGTTATCTGGTTGTGGTTAATATGAAACAGTTGATTTTTGTCTGCATAGGTTGATGATGTAATGAAAAGGAAGCGGTCGTAATGTTTGCTCCTTTCTAGAATGTTATATAACATATGATCATCATATATATAAAAAAAGGATTATCGCTTCATATATTTTTGGTTATCAATGATATATATTCATCAACTCAGAATGTTTGCCAAAAAAGTAAATAGGAATGCCCCTTTTTTATTTGATTCCTTCTAAAAAAAAATGTTTCAGAAATCAATTTGTTTCTCAAGAAACCGGTTTACTATAAACCGGTTTTGTGTGAAGACTCAATTTCCAACAAGCAGTGATCTACGCAATAGTAGTGGGAATCATAAACAAATAACAAAAGAAAGACGTAATAGTGATTATGGAATCACTTTAACGAACAGACAGAAACAAAAAAGCCATGAAAGTGGCAGAGATTCGATTTTGGACGCTTAGTCAGATCCATCGGTCACCATTTTCGGACTGTTTCTTCCTTCGATCTCCATAACCATGCCCAGAGGAGAAGCAGAATTTCCGCTCTCGACACGACGACGACGACCATCCGCACCGATCACAATCCTTATCTCGATCTCATCCGCCTCCCCTTCATCCACAACTTGACGACAGGGCAAAGACGGAGCAGTGACTTTGGCCTTGGATGGGCGCCGGACGATCCAGTCAAGGTCGTAGCCTTTGGTCTTGCTGTGTAATGATATCACAACTGACGAGACCAGAAGCTGGACTATCCATGGCAACGTGACAAGCAACGTGCCGGAGATCGCGAAGAGCTTTACGTATGTTTGGTTGCGAGCGTTCGAGGCGGCGAGGCGGAAGAGGAGAACTCCTGTGAGAGTTGTCCACAGAGAATGGAGGAGAATCGATCTGAACGATATCCCTCTGAGCTTCTCGCTCTCCATCTCCTTCTTCTTCTTCTTCTTCTTGTTTTCAGATAATAAGAGAAATACTTCGATGTTGTTAGAGAAATAAGGGGGAGATTTCTTGGTGGTTAGTTAGAGATTCATTTGCTGGATCCAACAGCATATATATGTATATGTGTATATATATATATATATGTGTACTGAATGTTAAAGATGAAGAAACATATGTTGGATTTTCACGTGTCAGAAACAAAAACTTAAGACGGCAAAACTGAACTGGAAACATTTCTAATCTCAAGAAACGTTTCTAATTCCTTATTGTTTCCTTCATGTGTTAGATTAATTACCAGATTCGATTTTGTGTTGTTTAAGAAATTTTTAGATTTTTTAAATATAAATTCAGATTGGATAAAATGGTTTTCAGTATTCTTTTTAATATATGTTTACAAAAAATACTATATTTTATAACAAAAAATAGTCTGACAATTTGGGAATGGAAATTTGTTAGCTCAGGGCTTTTATCATTAGCGAAAAGGCCCAAAACCCAATGTTAATTTATATAGTTTTTACATAAAAAAATACATTGATGCCGAAAAGCTGAAGGATACAATTGTAATTTAAAGCAGCAGTGAAAAGTACGCAAACCCTAGAGCTCCACTCTATAAATACCTTGCGATTTTGCATCTCTAGGTTAAGCTCTCGTTTCTTCGCCGCAGTTTTGTCAGATTATTCTTCGTTGGTGAGAATTCTTCTCTGTAGTTCTCTGATCCGTGATCTTGTATGGCTCGATTTCGATTTCGATTTCGATTTCGATTTCGGTTTCGATTTCGTGTGGGTTTTCTTCGCGTTTTGAAATGAAATTCGTCAGATCGTGTTAGAGTTGTTTGTCTCATAGTTGTCCTCCACTATGGTTGAATCTTTCTGAGTTCTAGAAACCGAGATGATAACAATAGCCTTGACATGTGTTGTAAATCGTAGCGATCTATGTGTTGCTGTATCTTTTGATTCTCGTGCTCAATGTTTGACTGGTGATTTGAATAAATATATATTCTCTGTTCATTGAGCTCGTGGTCAGATCCTTTGATTGTCGAGAAGATAAAATGCCGAAAATTGTTCAAAGTGAAAATCTGTATCGTTTCTGGATATCGATCAGTTTCCTGCATAATTTTGCCACTTGATTCAAATGGTAGTGTTTGATTAATTGATTGCAGTTTTGTTTTGTGGGTTCTGCTGAACATATCTGTTGATTTTGCAATCTTTTGGATGGTTTATCGAATGGTTATGTATTTTTTGGTTGTTGTGTTGCAGTTCCTTTTTTACCATCAGCCATGGGTAAAGAGAAGGTTCACATCAACATTGTGGTTATTGGCCACGTCGACTCTGGAAAGTCGACTACCACTGGCCACTTGATATACAAGTTGGGTGGTATTGACAAGCGTGTCATCGAGAGGTTCGAGAAGGAAGCGGCTGAGATGAACAAGAGGTCCTTCAAGTATGCCTGGGTGTTGGACAAGCTTAAGGCTGAGCGTGAGCGTGGTATTACCATCGATATTGCCCTCTGGAAGTTCGAGACCACCAAGTACTACTGCACTGTCATTGATGCTCCTGGTCACCGTGACTTTATCAAGAACATGATCACGGGTACCTCCCAGGCCGACTGTGCTGTCCTGATCATCGACTCCACCACCGGTGGTTTCGAGGCTGGTATCTCCAAGGATGGTCAGACCCGTGAGCACGCCTTACTTGCTTTCACCCTTGGTGTCAAGCAAATGATTTGCTGCTGTAACAAGGTGACTTATTGCTGCGTTTCTTTTTATCAGCATCTTGATCTAGATTTTCTTATATGTGTTGCTCACATTGTCTTTGGTTTCAGATGGATGCCACCACCCCCAAGTACTCCAAGGCCAGGTATGATGAAATTGTCAAGGAAGTGTCTTCCTACCTGAAGAAGGTTGGTTACAATCCCGACAAGATCCCATTCGTGCCCATCTCTGGTTTCGAGGGTGACAACATGATCGAGAGGTCCACCAACCTCGACTGGTACAAGGGACCAACCCTCCTCGAGGCACTTGACCAGATCAACGAGCCCAAGAGGCCATCAGACAAACCCCTCCGTCTCCCTCTTCAGGATGTCTACAAGATCGGCGGTATTGGAACTGTGCCAGTCGGACGTGTAGAGACCGGTGTCCTCAAACCTGGAATGGTTGTCACCTTCGCTCCATCTGGATTGACCACTGAAGTCAAATCTGTCGAGATGCACCACGAGGCTCTTCAAGAGGCTCTCCCCGGTGACAATGTTGGGTTCAACGTCAAGAACGTCGCTGTCAAAGATCTCAAGCGTGGATACGTTGCCTCCAACTCAAAGGATGACCCAGCCAAGGAAGCTGCCAGTTTCACATCACAGGTCATCATAATGAACCATCCAGGTCAGATCGGAAACGGATACGCTCCGGTCCTCGACTGCCACACTTCCCACATTGCCGTTAAATTTGCTGAGCTGTTGACGAAGATTGACCGACGGTCGGGTAAGGAGCTGGAGAAGGAACCCAAGTTCTTGAAGAACGGGGACGCTGGAATGGTGAAGATGATTCCGACCAAGCCAATGGTGGTGGAGACATTCTCTGAGTACCCACCGCTTGGCCGTTTCGCCGTGAGGGACATGAGACAGACGGTGGCGGTCGGAGTGATCAAGAGTGTGGAGAAGAAGGACCCGACCGGTGCTAAGGTCACAAAGGCTGCAGCCAAGAAGGGTGCCAAGTGAGAACTCTCTTCATCATTGGTTTGAAACTTTGTGTTGGTTTGGTTGAGTCTTTATCTCTCCGGCTTTTTTGTTTTTGTTATTTCCAGTCTTGTGCTCTGGTTCTAATGCCTGGACTTTCGGACAACTTTTTGCATCTATTTCGTTATTTCGTTTGACGTTTATTTCTCTACCAAAATTAACTTGTGGGTAACCTGGGTATTTGATTTGTTGTGTTACTGTGTTCACATTCTGGGTATATATGAGATACGAGTCGTATTTTAAAAATATATGTGGTATTTTGACCTTTGACAATGTGGAGAAATTAGTTTTTCTAAACCCGAATATAACCGAACCGAATTTGAAGATAAACCGATTAAAGCCATGGCTCGGCTCGTGGGATGGGGCAAGTGGAAGAAAAAAGGGTCCCTCCCCCTGTAGGGCCACATTTAATATCACCCCCCCCCCCCCCCACCCCCCACCCCCC